TTATTGGTGCATGAGAGTGTATGGGGCTGAGAGTGCTGCAACTGGAGTCAGACCATGGGTCGGTAAGCCTAGATGTTCCTGCTGCCAGAGACTGGAAAGAGTGTGGGTCTGTGAGTGTGTGTGTTATCAGTAGCAACAGGCTTGCCAGCAATACATCTTCAGCCTTGCTACTGACTGAGTCTGGGAACAAGAAGAGGCAGTAGCCTCATCTCTCTAAGGCTGTTGGATCCAGCATGGTAGATTTTCCTCTAACAGAATTCTCAGTTTACCATCTGACAAAAATACCTGTGAAGACTGCTGTTGTACCTAAGGAAAAGTCTTTCAAAAACAGGCTATCTCCCTTCCTTTCTCCTGCATTCAGGAGCAGCAGCAGCATGAGGCCAGACCAGCACACTGAATCTGAGACTATTCAAAGGTGAGATCATTCTTACAGTGGGCTGTACAGATGCTATAGACACCAGCTTTGCTTTCACCACTACAATATGACATACTAATGACTTGTCACTTCTCAGGCTGCATAAGTATTAATTTCTTCCTGATTATGTTTAAATAGAGTTAGGAGTTACTACAGTCACAAATATGATGTGTATGTTTAATGATACCACTTCACTTTCAAAATAATGTTTTCACGTTAGAGTACTATTAAGCTTTTATTAAAATGACAGCAATATCACTAGGAATCAGATAAGTGCACTTGGTTTTACAACATTTTGATTAGATTAGAGTTACCACAGCTTCCTATTTACTTGTGATGATCTAGAGAAAGAAAAAAACTTTAAACCTCTCACAGAAAGTTACACTTCATAGATTCATATTTTATGCTGTTATAGGGGTACTTACTAAAATGAAACACTAACATTGCACTGAATAAGGCACTAAATACATCAAGCATGGCAATTGAGATGGGAGAATCAATCTCATATTGTAGCTGTCTTCTATTGTAAAAGACCAGTCAAAAATTAGTGGATTTGAAACAACATGTTACCTGTGGGACCTCACAGAGACACAGGATTATCTGTGTAGTAATGATTGGACTGTGATTTTTCATTCTCTTGCATTTGTGCCTTTAGCAACAGGTAGGAGAAGAGGATCTGGATTTTCTGAGGCATCACAAGTGACAGGAAAATAGGTTATGACTTGTCTGGCATGCTTTAGTGAGAAGATAAGGCCTCGTTATGAAATAACAAGTGATAAGACAGAAGTATTCACTGTCCCAAGCAAGTACTTTTGAAAGATCAAACCTCACAAAGAGCTATTGTCAAAGTGTGTAACTGTAACTATTGATATTCCACATAAAAGGCTTGTGAGAAGGACACAGAACTAGGTCAAGAAAAATAATACAAGTGGTATCCTAGAAAGAATAGAGTGAAAACACCTCCAAAAGCCAACAAATCTGTAGCACACACAGCTCTGTCCTCCACACTTAATATTGGGTAGAATGCTGGAAAGTATCCCCATCTGACCTTTTATAAAGTGGGATCACTGGAAAAGGAATAAGAAAATTAAGGACTAGATAACTTTGAAAAAAATGAAGTCAGAGCACTAGATATGACACAAACTATAAAACTATCACAACTTTAACTTTCTTTAAACTGAACCATGTATTTTAAGAGACATTTTACAGGGGATGGAGCACTTTCTTTAGGAAATCCTATTTTAAAACCCAAAATATATGTAGGCAAATATTTAAGGGTATTTAGACTATACCTATTTTCCCCATAATTCCAACCAACAAAATTATGCTATCCATTATGTTTGCACTGTGTCGAAGAACCATTCAATGAACCTTCACACAGTTTCTTTGGAGATCCTGATCCTGCTTTTAGTTATGCTGATTTCACACTCAGGAAAAGATATCATTATATGGTTACGTCTATGTGAGCAACAGCACTGTTGTGTCCTTCTAAATTCAAACTCTGTCAGTGTGGAGAAACAGATAAGATCAGTTTAGGTATCTTCAAAAATGAAAGGAAAGGATGAGATGAGTATTCAAATAAATACAGAGACAGTAAAAAAAGTTTCAATACTAGTAAAGTATGTCAGTCTGCCATTTCAGAACTGTGAAATACAATAGTGGTAAGACAGAGAGAGAGGGTAAGATGAAATGATGGAAAACAGTATTTTGCAGCAGATATATGACGACTCAAGATAGGTAAGACAATAACAATCAATGCTTTCAATGCAAATTAAGAGCAAGTACACTGAAAATTAAATGCTTACCTGGGACAGTGTGTTAAGACTCCTCTCAAATAGCATGAGCTTCAGTGGTTGAAGTGGTAAGCTCTTAACCTCCAAGTTCCACAAACCCCAAAAGTACAGCTCTGTTTACCTTTAAAACCATGCACCAGGTCCCTTCTGTTCAGTTAGCAGTGGTGACTGCTTGACTTGAAGCTCTTTAAATGATTGGGAATCCCATTTGTCTAGTTACTTTAAAACACTTCTGCTCTTTTCAACAGACCCTGACAGACTCATCTGTTTGTGGATAACTCCCTCTGCACAAGTAAATAAATGTCAGTGTGCCTGCAGCAGTGGTTACAGGGATATTAGGTCTGCTTCTGCCCAACCATATTTTATTCATGCAAGGGTAAAGTTTTTCACCAATCTCTAGTAGGTTCCCTTCTAAAAAGCAGGACAGTTGATGTGAATAATTGCAACAGGCAGCAAAAATAAAAGATGTTGGAGGGACTAGAAGCAGAGTTGCTTATTTTCAGCAAAGTATCATAAAAATAAATTAGGAAGATCCAAAGTGCTTTAACTAACTAAATAAATAAATGAAAACCTTCAGTGGAAGACCACTGAAAAATGCAACAGGCTCAACTATTAAAAATGCATAGTAGCAAAAGGATTCAAGATGTTTTCATGCTCATGAGGAAATCAACAAAGGCACTGAATTCAGATTATCTTCCCACTGCTCTGATTATAGGATTCTCTTTTCCCTCTTTTTTCTTTTGAATGTTCCTTCCAATTAGTGCTGAATTTTTATTTCATGAAAATCTGACCATTGCTACTTGCTACTCAAGCTGATTTCCCACCTGAAGACAGTCTTCCATATCTAAGCCTTTAACAGCCAGCTGTCGTGAAAAGTTGAAGATGTTAACAAAAACATCAGATTGTTGTCCAGTACCAGAGGAACTGATATGGATCCTCAGGTGACACACACCAAGAAGAAGTGTGGTGCAAGTGTTTTGATAGAGTTACAGGTGGCTGAGCAGCAAAAGCAGATGAACTCTCAGGAAGCAAAAGATCCTATTTTTATGTAAATGTCCTCAGCATCACTGGGTAAAATCTGGCAATCTCAGCTACTAGATTCCAGATACTTTTTCCTATTGCACATTCTATCTTGAAAAATTCAAAGAGCAAAAGGAATGCAACAAGACCTGTAAGGTTTGAGTCATACACTGACTGATCCCACTTGTAGCAGTTTAATCCCATACAACAACTAAGTACCATACAGCTGCTTGCTTATGCCTCTCCTCCCCTCAGTGGGATGAGGAGGAAAATCAGAAAAATCAAAAAAACCCATGGATTGAGATAACAGTTTAATAATTTAAATAAAATAAATTATCATGAACAAGCTCCTGTGGCACATCAGGGCTTGTCCCTGGCAAAAGGCTCCTAGAGACCACTTCCTAAGACCAAAACACTAATTCCTTGCACTTACTGAAAAGCTGGGTCTGAATCAGCTGACATTGACCAGGAGTGGAATCAGAATCTATTCTCTGATAACAATTTTTTTTTTCCTATTTGCAACCTTAGATAAGCTTTTAAATTCTACAAATACTATACACATAGGAAAAAAAAAACAAAATACACACACAAAAAAACAAAGAAATGCTGTCTGCTGTCTAATACTAAAATCTATTCTTAGACCTAAACTATGGCAAAACTGTTAGGTAACTGCTTTTGAATTAGATTCTCGGTGCTGCTACAATTGGTTTTACTACTTGAAAGCTCTATGTTTTCTTTTGGCGGTGCAACACACTTCTGCTAGCTTGGATGCAGTTCAATGATGAGGGAAAAGGCCACAGCCTCTAGAAGACACATGGACCATCCTTGGTTTTTAATTCCACAGTGATGTTTAGTCTTCCATAAATACTTCCACATAAAATCTAATACTGAGGATCTGCCAGTTCAGGAATCTGGTTACAAGTGAGATAAGCCTCAAAGCACACTTGAGAGCTAAGCAGCTCCATTCTCTGGGAAGTGCTTTTTACTTTGAGGCCTGCATCAACTTAGATCAGCTCTTTGAAGTAGAGCAGAAAAGATCTGGCTTGGTCAGTCAGTCTAGAATGGGATACGATCTTTCATTATTATTTTTCACAAAGATTTTATAATCCTTCCCCCCTATTTCTACAGACTAAATGGAATCTTCAGGGAACCAAAAATTCAGATGGAATTTATTACAGAAACCTAGGAGTAGCCAATTTTATATATATATATATATATATATATATATATATATATATAAAACATACTCAAAATGTAAGATCTCATTTTTCCTTATTCTATAGCCAAATAAAATTACTTTGAATAAATATCAGGTTAAGTTGTTGCCATTCTGTAATAAAGTGAGAGTTCGAAGATTGCTTTGTTTTGTTTTTAAATATGCATGCCTTTTTGTAGTGGAGAAGTGCATACAGCACCTGTTGTTATTCTTATGTTGTTCTTTAAAAGTTTTCATAAAGACAACAGGTTACCAGTGAAATATAATATCAGCTCATCAGGTTCCGCAGGTGCTCTTCTGCAAAGCTATGAAATAAGAGTTCATCTCCTCCTTGGAAAAACCTAATACAAAATTTTCACATACAATCACCTTAAGGTCTTCCCTCCTCCCCCTCCAGCTTCATATCCCACCCAACCCTTCAATTTCAGAAGTTTTTTTTTTTTAAAGAAATGAAAAAGAAAAAGAAAATAAAAGCAGCTTATAAAACAGCAAAGAAAATAAAGTTATTTTAATATATATAGAAAGAGAACAAAATGAAACTTGAGGGAAAACTTACTGGCGTTACAGTTTATCCTGATACAGTCTAGATGGGGAAAAATAAATGAAAGATGAAATTGCATCCTTCAAGGTAACAGCTGCAGACATCCAAAAACAATCAGTCCACCCTTCCGGGGACAGACACACGCAAAGAGATGTGGCCATTTTATACTCATATACAGTCTGTACAAGTTCAGGAGTGGGTGTATATGTACAGTATATTCTATGTAAATATCTGTTACATAAATATATATATAGACATATATATACATATGTATAGAGAAATATACCAATATACATATATATCCACATGTTGACACAGAAAGTTCTTTCCTTTTTATAGAAACTTACACATCTAAGAGTATCTTCCACTCCAGACCATGTACTGATGTGAATTACAATAAAAAAATTTATAATTAAGGCATAAAAATCTCCCTAAAAACACGTCATACTCCAGTGTCATTTTGCTTTTTAGAAACCTTTAGCAATTTTTCTAAGAAGCTTGAAGGTCAAAGTCAACCTTTACACTTGGTTTCTTTTGAATTTATTCATATTGTTATTGCATAAATATACCATCTGTCAACACAGAATACCTGTAAAATCAGTCTATGAGATTTGTCGGTGCAATATTTAACCCTTTCCAGCTCTCCCAAAGACAGACCCTCTTCTCATTCCCCCAATGCCAGCCCAGAAGACTTTTTATGTGCACAGACACATTTGACACTGTCCGCTCAGGTGAGGAAAGGGTTAATATACTGCCCAGTTGTGTCCTATCATAAAATGGCCACTTGCAAACAGCTAACCGCACGAACGCCCAGCCCAGATTTCAGCTAGTTCTGGAGGTTGGGAATACTTTTTTGGGGGGCTTGGCAGGGAGAACGGGGATTTCTTTCAAAGGTCCCCAGCCCTGCCAGTTCCTCAGAGCCCAATCTCATCTTGCTGTCTGAACGCTAAGACTGAATGGGGTGGTTGTAACGTTCAGGGAGAAGATGAAATGTGCAGTGAAGTGGCAGATCTGGGAACCTTTGCTGGCCCTGCTTCATTCAGAGGTTATAGGTAAGGGAGGGACAAAGAGAGGTACATGGAAAGAAAAATAGAGTTATGTTTGTAGAATCTAAGAAATGGTAATTGAAGAGAAAGCAAGCTGAGGTAGGAGAGCCTGAGCTAGAGGGCTTCTGAGCATTGCTTCTCTCATTTAACACGCTAATGCTCAGCATATCTCAGGTTATGATCCATAAGAGGATCTTTCATTTATAAATGCCTACTTACTTGTGAATGTCCATTGCTGTGGTGTATAACGTGGGCCAGAGCTATTGTATCAGTGCTATTACATATCTTGGTATGCTGACCTTCTCTCAGGAAACCAAGGCCATGAATAATAGCACCATGCTAGTGGGCACTCTATCTGGACAAGTAATGCTTTAATCAGCAGAAATGGTCATATTTATTAAAGAGATATGGCCCAGAAAGGGAGATTATACAGAATGGCAAAGAAATATAATGCAGTTTGCTACTTAACTGGACCAATTTTATGTTTACTCATACAAATGTAGAAAAATTATTTCAGCAGCTGACACTGAATGCAGTTCTTAAAAAATAAAGGAGGGAAAAGAATAAGAGTCTATAAATAATAAATAAAGAGCTGTAATGAGCACTGTAATGACTGGGACACACCAATCAGGAGTAATATAGCCAGAGAGAGTCTGTTTTCAAGCAGAACTTCTCCTAAGAAAATCTGGGTTTGGTTTTGTGCGATTAGGTTTGTCATGTGTCGTCAACCGCAACAGAAAAGTGGGAGCAAACAGCCCTGGAGCAATTGCTACGATCACCACACAGTGGTGGCTATATCCCTTAGAGGAGTTGGGTGGGGTAAGGGGAGCTCTGAAGTACATGCAGGGGAGTTTCCTTCTATGACTTGATGGAAAGTGACAGCAATGAGAGACTCCCAAGTCTCATTCCAAGTGAGGTCAAGAGAGTTGCTACAGCTGGAACATGGGAATTTCTTATGGGCTGAAGAGTGTGCTGGAAAGGGAAACATGGCTGGTTCACAGCAACATTCATCCAAGCTAGAGACTAAAACCATTGTTGTGTTATTGATGTCTGCAGAGAAGTTTCGCCTTTTTCTTTTTTTTTTTTTATGTCCTCGGTCTTACCCACAGGCTCAGTCACTACTTCAGGCGAAACGATAGATGTTTCAAACTGAAAACCAGTGTAGCCCTTATCCTGGCTGCAAGACTTGTATTTCAAAGGATTAAAGGCCACCGAGGAAGCTGCCCTGACAACTACATGGTGCTATTATATCTCCAGAATGTGAGCACAAAATCTCTGCAATGCCATGCAATTGGGTGCCAGGCAGAAATGTTCAGGTGCACTCCAAAGGAACCAGCTCCTGAACCAGATTTAATCCACCTGGGTCACTGGGAATCCTGCATGGCAAGTAAGAGAGTGAATCTGCTTGCACTGCTACACCAGCATCACCATACCCTCCACACTGCACGCATAGGTTTTTTTTTTCATTTCCTTAATTGTGAGTCTTGCCCAAAGCAACCCAAAAATTTCCAGCCATTAATACATGAAGCTATTCTCTCCCTCTTGAATCAGTTTTTAAAAGGGAAGAAAAAAACTATTCTCCTCTAAACTAGTATAGCGGTACTAATCCATGTATGAGCTGAGAAGACCACCTGCAGTTACTTTCTTTCATTATTTTTCTGAGGTAAAACAGAAACTCCTTCCTCAGTGCTCAGATGGAGTATTTTCCAGAGTATATCACCAGGAAACTGGGCCAAAGACCCTCTCCTTGGAAAAGGTTAAATAGTTCCACTGCAATTAGCTAACACTAATTCATTGTTTGAATAGAAGTATCTTTAGCAACAAACAGAAGTAACTGCGAATTAGGCCTGTGTTTCTTACCATTTATATTTGTGTCTGGAAACAGTGATATTTATTTGACATTGCTAAGGCTCTAGGGCATTTTACCCTTGAATCAGGAAAGAAAGTCACCTTTACTGTGTGAGGAAAAAATGTTTGTTCCTTTGAATAAGCAGCCATATGGGGCTATGGAAGAGTACTTTAAGGCAAGAATAGAATGAAAAAGATAATTGGGGCCCAACTGTTTCTAAACTCACTCTAGGTTATCTCCTGTGGGGAAACCAGATAAAGTTCCATGCACACTCTTACCTCATGTTATATTGAGGTTTCTTGCCTCTCTCCTACTTGCACTACTTGTATGTAAAAATGACAAAAATACTTTTCATTTTGGAGGGGCAAAGGTGTCTCTGACATCCTTGAGGATATATCTTAGGAAAAGATAGGTGAGAAGGATGATTACACTTCCTTACATCAGAGGAAGCAGGAAATATTTATCCTAGTCACCAGTGACCTGAAGATATGCCAGGGCAGGAAGAAAAAAACCTGAAATATTCTTAAATAAAGTTCAGTATAACACTAACTCTCCAACTTATCAGTGCGAGGAAATTGTGAAGGTGGATGTCCCTATGAGACCAGCCATTCTTTCCCTTTCTGTACATCATCTCAGCATCAGAAACTATTCCCAAGCATGTTCCAAGCCATCATTTACTTAATTTCTCTCTCTCCTTCCACTCCATACCCATTTCTTCAAAGTCCTTCTCAGCAGAAGTGAGATATATATCACATTTAGATTTCTATTCTTCACACAACAAACGCTCAGACTACTGAGAGACGTGCTGTCAACATGCAGATTTGCAGTGCCTTGGGCACTCACACTGGAAAGGTATGAAACAACTTCCTTGCCCTCTTCCTCAGAAAATTATTCATTACTGCTCTCCTTTTTCCCTTCACCTTCTGCAGCAAGCACCCAGCTGCCCATGCCCACCCATGCCTGCTGGACTATCTGTCTCTCCCCTGTTTGGTTTGGACACTGGGTGTTAAGGGGGTGAGTGGGATATGCCAGCCCCTGCAGGCTGCTCCGTATGCTCTGTTCTCAGGGCTGTTTGCTGTGCGGGCCGCAGGCTTCAGGCCTTTGAAGGGTCGAATACCATCTTTTGATTTACCATGGCTGATGGGGTATGGGAAAGCTTTACAACTGAAATACACAGAATAGTTTAAAAAAAAAAAATTAAAAGGAGTAAAAAAAAAGAAATAATAAAAAAAAAAAATAGGAGAACCTTAATAAACACATAAATGATAATAAGTCATCAAATGGAATAGATCAAAGAAGAGAAGAGACAGCTCTTAGTAACAGTATTAAATGACTTATAAGAAAACTACAATTAAATAACTCACCACTCAAAACAGTCCTGGTTTACACACATCTGTCTTGGGTTAGATGCTCAGGGAATGATGACACCGAGCATACTCAGGTCTTCTAAGGTGGTGCTGATGACTGTTTCGCATTGGTAAGGGGATTTTGGCAAGGTCAGATAAAGATTTGGTTCTTGTTTGTGACATTTGGGCAATGAATAGTCTCCTTACAGAGTTAGATGTGACTTAAACAACTGGAAATGAATGGCTCTGGTAAGGTCATTCCTCAAATCCTGTTTCTTCAGCAGCAAGGTAACTGTGCTGTTTTGATAGAAGGAAAGTCCTGTTTCAAGGAAATTATCTAACAGCTTTATAAATCTGAAGAGAGGAGAGGTGAAGCTGAATCGGGGTTCCAACAATCTAAACTACCCTTCTTTTGAGTGCTCACTTCTAGGAGAGGGCTCACAGGTTTCCCCTGATACAGCCTATAGTCACACTGGGGGAAGATTCAACCTCGCAAAAGTTTCCAGCTGAAAAGCTAGGAAATCTGACATACACATTGCTTCAGTCCCTGCAACTACACAAAAATAGCCTTTAGGTAACAGAAGAGTTTGTTTACAGATTTTGTCCTGCATTAAACTGTCAAAAACACATCTCTTTCCAAATATGTGTAGACCATCTGTCAAATCTTTAGCTACATCTTTTAACTGCCAGACAGTACGAATTGAACAGTCCACCTCTAGGCTAGTTGACTGGAGTCTGGCATAACAGACCCCAGTGAGTGGTAAAAGTGACCAGTGCCAACCAGGCAAACAATGTTGACAGGCCCTTAAGGAAAATACTGTCTGCTGGCATGATATAATGAAAACCAGAAAGGAAAGAATAAACTGTAAAAAATTATAAGTATATTAAGGATAATCTAAATCTACCCTCCTCATATTCACATAGGATCTACGTCTAGGAGGCCCTTAACATCCAAAATTTCTCTCAGACTCATTCATTCTTAAGATGAAGATATAATAGAATCAAACAAGTGGTATCTTTTTCAGGAGAAAAAGTGATAATTTTGTGAATTATCTGAAAGTTTTCAAGCTGTAGTACTTATCATGTGGGAGTATCAAAGGTGATAAAAGCAGCTCTTATTAAAATACTAGCACAAATCTTTCAGGTTGCAAAGAATTCTCTTTTCAGCAAAGAGAGAAACTAAGGCATAAAAGTAAAAGAATTGGCTCTGGGTTACAAGAGGATAGTGTAGAGCTAAGTAGATACTGAGCTCCCCATCACTTTCCCAACAGAAGCAGACCACTACCGATCTTTCAGCAACTAATTTTATTTTCTGAGAAAAAAATAGCTAGCAATAATTTTGAAGAAAGAAAACAGTGGTGAAAAACTAAACTCATTTTTCTTTATTATTAGCAGCAACTGATTAGATCAGAAGAAAATGCAGACACACATATAGATACAAAAACGCTCTGGAGCTTTCTGAAAGATTCTCTTTGCACATGTAAGAATGCTCAACAGCAACTCTTACGAGCTGTTCTCTAGAGACACCATGTGAATCTATGAAATTTTCCTCCATTTAAAGTTAATATAGGCTGAGATAGCTATCATCAGAGTGCTGTTTCTCTTTATTTGAGAAGTTACTGTCATAGCTGAAGTTCATCTATTCCATTTGTCCTCTAGGTCAGTCTGAATAGCGCAGCAAGTGCTTTTATGCTAGCTAAACATTCAATATTGCTTTACACTTCTTCAGTCAAGCTAAGCAGAGCAAATAGGCAATTTTTTTTTTTTTTTTTACTAAAAGCCAAGAGTTTCCACAGACCTTTAGATAGACCTTTCTATAGACCTTTGCTTTTAAGGGATATGAACTTGTTTGATGCATTTTCTTCTCTTACTTTCTTATTCCAAAAGCAAAAATTAATGGTCTAGCTGGCCAAAAAAAAGACACTAAATGAAATTTTAAAAAACAAGCTAGTTCCAGAGGATAACATACTCTATAAAGCCACTACATGGTTTTCTCCTGATAACACCACAGCAGGGGTTTAAAGATGCTGATACTGTTAGGTCAAAAAATGCAAAAGTTTGTTCCAGAGGGGCTTAGAATTTTGAAAACTAACTCAAGCTTTCATGGACCATACACACATCTTCATATAGAATACCCTACACATTAGAAGAGCTCTAACATTGCAGACTATCGTGTTAGTTTTGTCTCTGAGTCAGATCCTCTTCTTAGTTATATTCCTGAATTCATATGAAGCAACAAGTTGCATCACTGAAAAGTGAAAGAAAGCTTCAACTCATTTACATTATTTAAAGAGGCTATTTTTCATTCAGTAGAATACTTAAAGACTGTCAAGAAAATGAATCAAGGGTAATCTAATAGCACCTCCACTCCCAATTTTTTTCATTGTTGTTGTTATTGGACTTGTTTCCAGTTGTCTTTTTTAATTATTTTCCAAAGAATTGTAACTCTGAGGAGACAGAACAGAACCCTTTGAGATGGGGGAATGCACTTTTATCATTGATACCTTCTTTTTAATAAAGACACAATTAAAAAACCAAAAAAGGCTTTTAAACTAATATGTAAAATATGCCAAGCTGTGTCAAATACTGCCAAATTATGTAAAGGGCAGGGGATTCACAGGACTTCTGCTTGCTACCATATCCATTTTGCTTCCTTTCTATGTTCGCCTTTGACTGTTTTGAGTGATGCTGAATGAATGAGGGATGTAACTGATCAAAAGATGGACCAAGCAGCATGTCTCACACAGAGCTCACCAGTCCCAGATCAAGAAAGGAAACTTAAAAACTTTAAGACTTAAAAACCAACACTGTCCATAACGAAGAACTGACAGCAAATCTTCATGCAGCAATGCAGAAGAGAATTTCTTTCCGCAAGAGAATATAGTTAAGAAGATCTCAGCAGTTATTTTAGGAATCAATCCAATCCAATCAAACCAACAGAAATTAAATGAAAATATTTTTAAAAACCACTAATCACAAGCCCAAACTAATAGTGAAGAGGGCAGTGGAAGGTTTTTATACGATACCTAAATTGACCATAAGTTTGACACGGCCTCCATCCAACTCCAGGCGCAGAGTGTCAGCAGAGTCTCGTGAGGTGGTTGCCATCAACAGCCCATAAGCACGTTGGGACATGAAACGAAAGGACACATCTTCTGCTTCTGTGTGCATAACCATAGGCATGATGATCTTCATGTACATGCTGCCATCATAGCTCAAGATAGAGGCCTCTGCAAGGAATTAGCAAACAAATGCAAAAAATTAAAAGAAGTTATACCTCTGTGTGACCTTCACACCTAAAGAACCCTGACATCTATTAGAGAGCACCATGTCTACAGAAATCATACCACTTGCCACAAAAAGTTATGTTACTACGGAAAATGCAACAACTGTTTAACTGCATCCAGAAACCCTACATGGCAAGTATGAGCAGCAACAAAGATATGGTATTCACCACAACTGGAGTCAGCAGTACCCATGGACATATAAACCCCAAGGACAAGTGTGTTAGGACAGGGCCCTTTTGTGATCATGAACAAGCAAAGCCTCTGTTTTTCACATCTTCCAGAAAACGCAATCTCCTTCAGTGTTCTGAAGTCCAGCCTTCCACAGGACTAGCTGTAATGACTAGAGTTCCAATTTCTGGTACTCTTCCTGTTGCTTATTGAGAGAGGAATTTAATTTCATTGCTACCACTTTAAAGAAAAACAACTGTATAAAGTGAATTTCCTAACAGGTCTTTTCTACATCAGATTTGTTCTGTTTTGTGGTTTTATATTTTTTCACTCTTTACTAATAAGCAACATTAGTAGAGCTCTGCTGACACAACTGACACAAATGAAGGAAGGAACAAACCAAATTCCATTGTAAGTTTAAGTGTCATTCAAACACTTGAACTTAGGAGATGGAGGTCCAATGAAAGCCAGGAGGAGGGACAAAAAAAAAACCAAAAACCAAAAACCAATAACAAAAACACTGACAAACAGACAAAACCCACAAAAAACAAAAAAACCAACCCCCCCCAAAATAAACAAAACAAAACAAAGGAAAACAAAACAAAACAAAAAAACCCACAAACAAACCAAAACACAAACACCAAAACAACAAAAAGTCGAGAAAAAAAAAAGTTTCTATTTTCTGAGCCTCTGAGGATGTCAAAGAAAATGGGAAGTTCAGCTGAGGAATGGAGTTATAATACTTAGCATTCTCTATTTGTTCAGGGTCTTGCTTGCAGAAAGTGATATTCTCCTCTAAGGGAGGTAGAATTAAAGTCTTGTGACAGAACTGCAGCAAGCACTACAGCATGGTAATCATTGTTTCAATCTGGGAGTAGGCTGAGAAGCATTTTTATCTCCAAAATTGAAAAATCTACATAAATATATTAATGTATGAATGAGAGCATTCCTTTTCTCCACAGTCAATCCCTACCAAAGGCAGGGTTGTAGAGATTGCTTCATGTAGATTTTCCACCACAAACCTACATGTAAAAATCCTAGAGCTTTAAAAAAAAAAAAAAGACCAGTTAGCTCCTCAGCACATGGAAGGATTGCTCCATAAAGCACTTTTATCAGTGTCTCGTCCAGTTCAGTTCCCCTAAAATTTTCTCAAAGGATTGTTTCGGATTTTCATCAGGCATCCCACACCCCCCTCCAGAAAGCTAACAGCCCATCTAATTTAACCAACTGCAACAACATGTATTTGGAACCTAGATGTTCTCCTTATGTCTCACTCCTTTGTCCCATATTTCCCAGATGATAGGAGCAGAACTTCTAGTAGCAAACAGCAAGCTTGGCAGAGCCAAACGTTACACCTTCTCAGTGTCCTAATGTTAGATGGTAGAGAAGGGTAGATGCATGAAACTGAGGAACAGTCAAATGTCTATTCTGTAAAAGACCCATAACTGGCTCCGCAATGGCCAGTAACAGAATTACAAAGCAATAAATATGTAAATGAGGTGATAAATAAAGATATAAATATCAAACTGATAAAGCGACAGAGGAGACATTTATATGGTTCCAAAACATTTGGAGGGGATCACTACAGTTGTGCTGGTGCAGCGACTCACCCCACTAACAGTCAGTATGCAGAACCTTTCCAGTCACAGGACATACAAACACATTAAGAAGAAAACTTTTCTGGGAGCATCATTAAGAAGTCTGTGAACAGCATTCCTATTCACTAGTTTTCCTAGCTGCACTCCCCACACACTGTCATGGTCTGTACACAGAAAGCTCTCTACGCACATCACCCACTCAGCCATTAAAACACCTTCTGGGTACCAGCTGCCAGTGTTGCCCTGAGGACTCACATCTTCATTTGTCCAAAAAACCTTTTTCAAGGTGGGAGAATAGTTTCTTCTTTTCAAAGTGCAATTCTCTTCCCCCTCATGTCTGCACCTCTTACTTGCCACCCACAGCTGCAAGCTGGAACTAAATGTACTGTATATTATACATACATTCAAAGGCAATGCCTATGTACACACAAACCTTCCTTGCTCTCTCTCCTCCCTCTCTGCAGATTGTATTAGAAAATGCAGTCAAGCATGAAATGGCTCTTTTGACGCCTTCAGCTCAGATGTGCCTTGCATGAAACAGTTGCTTGCCCTAGCACACAAATAGTTGGGAGGAAGGGGTTGGAGGATATCAGGACTATGAGTGGGAGTAGCTGACACAACTGCCCCAGCTCTACTGATTTTTTCTCCCCAGGGCCATGCATTAGGTGCTTTCAAAACATGAGTTTTTCTGCGGACTTCAGAACAAACCAAAAGCATGGTAATAATGACACTCTTCCCTTCAATAAGAATTCGTGTCCTTCTGCTTCACTGATCCCATTGTCAGATAATTACTGTCCTTAGACAAGAGATCCCAACCCTCACTATTATACTTATGTTAGAAGGACCTGAAGAACACTCAGAATTGCTGATGTTGACACAAAAGTCTGGACAGTGTTTCCGCTGACAACCCACAGTAGCCTAAATCATGTATTACTATTCTTCTCTGGCCAGTCTGCTACAAATAGGGGGCAATGAAGCCTTGTAAAAATAAGCAGATAAAATTTAATGTTCTATTCTTGTTTGTGCTCCATGTTGACCTAAGCTTGGCCCAGCTCAGCCCAGCTAGGCACTTGACATATTTAAAAAATAGCAAGATTCCATTCTGACTTTGCAAGTCTTCACTATCTGGAGTATCTGGGAGCCTTTCCTGCACATCTCCTTGCAAGCAGACCACTCCCTCCAGCTGCAAAACCACCCCTTAGGAGGAGGGTATTGCCTAGTAGCAGCTATACAAATAAAACCTATGTTCTTGTCCTGACAGTCAGTCCCCAAAGGTTGAGGGAGGTAAGTTACAGCTGAGCAACACATACAGGAAATCTGCTCAAGGTTGAATGTAACCTGGCAGCAAGCAAATGACCTCAACCTCCCAAGCACCTGTGCTAGAGACTTCTGCCTGAATACAGGCACCCATTCCATTATCCTCAGCCATTTGCAGCAAAGGAACTGTAATGCTTTGCTCAGCACCATAGATCTGGCAACAACACTATTATCTAAGTGTAAAATACATACAGATTCCTTCCACCCTTCTACTTTTAGGGTTGCTCTTATACTGGATGCCTCACACAGACATGCATAGGAGCAATACGTGAAACCATATTTGAGACCCCCACTGATTTGTACAGAAAAAAGATTGAGTGACATTTATTTGTGATCCCAATGCCAGAAGCTTCATTGCCATTAGTTTGGAGATGGGAAGAGGAAGAAACCAGGTGCTGGTTCAAAACTGTCCTGACATAATGCCAGAAATCTCTGAAAATCAATATGTTATTAGAAGCGATTAGCTTCCCAGTCTTGTGCTCTCAGACCCTGCCAGTTTTAATTTTACACTTAGCATCCAAAGGAGCAATTCACTGCTGCTTCTCCACAAGGCTCTGCATAAACCTCCTGGGGAGACAGAACAGCATACAGACAGAAAAATATTCAAGACCTCTTCATGTTTTTTCACCTGCTTTCTAACCTCTCTCTTATATTAATCTCTATTCTTTGCTTCTTTCCTTTCTTCTCTGTTTTATTTTTTCTATAGTCTCCTGTTCTTCTCTGTAGTCTTTTCCCTCTGCCTTCCAGACTACAATACTATGTTATTTCTTCCTAAAATTTTTAGAAGGGGAACAATGAAAAAATAACAAAAAATATTTACCCTTCATGAAAGCTGAAATCACCAGGATTCTTTCCTCAGTTACATTGGAGAGACCAAAATGCTCAGACCAAATATTTCCACATTCTTGCAAATTCAAACATTCTTAGAGTGCCTAAGCTTTGTATCCAAAAACCAGACAACTTCCCTGCAGGCATTACACAGCTCACCTCTTTCCCTCAAATATCCACTAGAAGACATATGGCCTCAGATAAAAACAGATTTTCTGAAAACCAAAATTACACTTTAAAACAGAAAACAAACATAAAAATAATAATTTTTTAAAAAATCATTATTCCATTCCAAGTGGATTCCACACAGACGAGTTTCAACTGCAGCAGCCTACCAAATAATTTGAGGAGCCCAAATGCAATCACTCCACCAGAATCTGACTAGAACCCAGGAGATAATGCTCCTTTTTTGGTGAAAAAGATGTGATGTGAACTTTAAGTGCTCACAAGCAGTTAGGACCTTGCACGCCATCCAGTAGGATGGGTGCTGGGAGCTGTGAGGTTCCCTGTGCTGGGCCCTTGCTGCCCAGGGCTGTCCAACCCACCCCCAGAGGTGAGAGCAGGACACACCTGCAGGTGGGGGCCAGGTACAATCAAGAATCCAGGAAACCTCATGGTGATGGCGCAGGTCTGCGGTCAGGCCAGGAAGTCAGTCTGCTGGCCAGGGCTAAGAGCATGTGCTGCAATTGCCAGGCAGGGCCATGGTGATAGGGATGGGACATGGGCCTGCTTTGGCAGCATCCGTGGCTGGGCAGGCTGCGGGCACCTGGAGGCTGGCCCTGCCACAGCATCGTTGCTGCAGGGGCTGGTGGCCATGGGGGCTGCCATGGGGTCCTGGGCCATGAGCAGGGTGGGGGAGCCCTAGGGGCCAGACAGGGCCTGTTGGTGCCCTAGGGGTACTGGTGGTATCATGCTCTGGCATTGCTTCTTGTTGGCCCATAAGAAAAGTCCACGTTTACTAAATGCACTTTAACACCTTCTGCAGCAAACTGAATTTTCCCTGGACGTCTCCCATCTAGATGTCACTGGATC